AAGCCAGTTCCTACCCCCAAAGAGCTTATATTTTAATAGGAGAAGGTAATATATACAAGGGAGTTCAAAGGGGAACAGTGGCACCATGGGGAGATGGCTGAGAACAGGCATAGAGGTGCCTATCAGAGACAAGCATCCGGGGCAGAGTTTAGAATTGGAGGTTAGGTAGAAGAAGGGGTTGATGTCTGTAATGAAGGCAGCATGGTTACATTGAGGAAATTGGAGATTAGGGAATTTGAGAGAGGATGGATATAGACTATTAGGGATATAAGTGGGATGGGATAGAATCAGAGGCACAGGTAGAGGGCAGTTCCTTTAGAATAAAGGCAGAAGTTGGATAGAGAGGAAGATGGTGGGCCATCTGCTGACTTTCTTAATGAAAAAGAGTGACACAAGTACAAGTATACAACAGCTGCCAAGATCTGGATTGAGCAGAAAGTTATGTTTGAACTTCAAATGAAAGGAGGTTGCTTGCTTAGTAACAGTGGTAAAGGGAGAGACCTAGCAGTGGCAGCAGGGAGGAAGAATTATTCTTTCTCTCCTAGGTGTTGTCTGTGTGTGTTGGAGGGGGTGGGGTTGAGTAAAGGTTCAGCCAGTGCTGGAGAGGATGGCCAGGGAAACACTGTAATTAGGGAGAACCAAAGTCTCTGTTAGGGCTAATAGATGGAATGTAGAAAGATCAGAATGTAGGGAGGTTTGTTTACTATGGGAAGGGTTTTCCAAGACATGGTGGGAAAGGTTGGAGTAGTCTATGGGGAGGGAAGTAGGGCTGAAGATAGGGATGAGAGAACAGGAGATGGGAGTTATTTGGCTATGGTGTCCCTGTGTCCAAGTGGTTGAATAGTATGGAATCTAGGAAGAGAAACTGATGGTGGGAAGTTGTTAGCCACAGGGGTAGTTGGGTTGGGTGGCACAACTGCCCTGGCTCTTTCACCCAACAATACCTCTTGACTATGACAGATACAATTTCCAAACTGATATACCCAAGTTTTGACCCCAACTTCCTCTGGTTCTTGGACTTCAACTTTTTTTTCTATATTGTTTCCGACTTCTCTTTGCTTCCACACTTTGGATTTTATTGACTTTGACTTTGGTATTCAACTACATTTTTTGTTTCTTCAGTTTTGGTGCCCTAGCCAGCTTCTCTCCTCCACAAATCAATGAGATAGCACCCTGGCCCTTCTTCTTTTTTAACATTTTATACTAGCCTTTTATTATTAGTGGGAGGAGGAAATACTGGAGTGGGAGTGGGATGAATCAGTTATTAAGATCAAAGAGTTAGTACATTTTGGTGGTTGCACAATTATGTGACAAAAGACTTAGAACTGAAAGGGACCTCAGAAGTAATGCAGTCCAAACCTGTCATTTAAAAGATGAAGAAACTCAGGATCAAGAACACTGAGTGACTTGTCTAAGGTCACATACATACAAGTCAAAGAACTGGGACCTGAACTCAGGTCTCATGGGTTCATGCAGGTAGGTGGTACAGTGGATAGAAGACCAGGCTTGGTATCAGGAAGACTCATCTTCCTGAGTTCAAATGCAGCCCAGAACATCCACCAGCACTGTGACCTGAGGCAAGCCACCCAACCCCACCTGCAAAATAAACTGGAGAAGGAAATGCAAACCACCCCAATTATCTCTGCCAAGAAAACCACAAAATGGGGTCACAGAGAGTTGGAAATGACTGAACAACAACTCATGACTTGAAGCTCAAGCCCTTTAAATTCCTTCCACTGTCCTATCCCTTATAACTATAGGCCACATCACCCTGGCCTTTCTTTAAAAGGACTACTGAAACCTGGCTTTCCCTTTCTTATCTGAATCCTTCAAGGGTTTCCATTAATGACTGTTGGCCAACAAAGCAGGTGTCAACCAGGCAGGACTATATCCTACCCATATTTTACTGGGCTCAGAGCCTGTTATGATAGCCAGTCTCAGAGGGCTGCAACTGCCATGATTTTGCAGCCCTGAATAACTCCTCTTTTAAAAATGTCTTTAAGTTGACCCCACAGCAGGGCAATGACAGCTAGGCTGTTGATCCATGTGAAGCATACAGGAACTCATAAAAACAAAAATTTGGCCAAATATAGGCAAAATACCCGGTCAGAGGCCCGAGGAAAACATACCTCTAAAGATGTAGGTGAGATCTCACTTTATCTTCCCAGAGGCTAGACCTTCAAGGCACTTTGGCCAACTCATCATCATGGCCCTACTCTCTGATCATCTCTACCCTGCTTGAATTTACCTAAGTCAGGTGGATGAACCTCCACCTTATCTGGTTTCGGCCCAGGCCTCCAAGGCACTTCCTGGATGCTTCCTCACTGTGTCCTACTGCATTGTAAAACACCTAACAAGGTTAGAAAGGATACCAGTGCTGGTTGTTCTCCCAGGCCCTGCTGGGAATTCCACAAAGGCAAAAGGAAGGAATTTCAGCCACTATCTTGGGACCTTGGGGCCTTATATTCCCGAATGGTTAAGAGTTCACCATATTTTAAAGCTCTTAGACTCAGAATTCACTGTGTTCCATCTTCTTGCTAGGCAGCCTTCTGTAGTATATCCCCACCCCCACCTCTTGTTATGGTAATCAAATCAACACTAAGACCTGAAAGGGATGTCAATCAATTGACCATTGCCACTCACCATCTCTCTGATTTTGGGGACCAAAACAACCCCATCTTGTTACTACACTTGCATAAAAATGTAAGCTTCTGGCTTTTTTCTCCCTTCTATTTGTATTCCTAGCATTTTGCACAGTGTCCTGTCACATAAGCAGCCCTTGATAATTTTTTTAAAAAATTCATTCATTGGAGCTCTCAAGGTAAGATCTCTAGATCTTAGTGAGAGTCTAATGGTAGTGGTGGGGGGAACAACAAATAAAAATAACAAAAAACAAACAAATATGAAACTCTTTACTAAGTCAAAGAAAATACTTCATGGAATACACCAGTAACCTATGGCACTTCCTTAAGAAAGTTATTTCTGATGGAATTTAAGTAGTAATAATAACTAAAGGAAAAGGGTTGGTCCTGTGATTTCATTGGTATAGGGAATGCCCAGATGAGGAAACTCCCTCTTTATTATTATTATTATTAACAATAACAATACAGAATGCTTTAAAGTTTGCAAAAGACTTTATAAGTATGACCTCATTTTACTCACAACCACCCTGGGAGGCAGGTGCTATTTTACAGATGAGGAAATTGAGGCTGAGGGAGGCTAAGTGATTTGCTTAGGGTCACATAGCTAGTATATGAGGCTGAATTTGAACTCAGGCCCTCCTGACTCCAGGTCCAGCTCTCTATTCACTGCACACGTGCATAGCTACATCTACCAGTGCAGATCAGAGCCCTTCTCTGCAACTTATAGTCCCAGACTTGAATAGAGAGTTTGGGCCACTTGTCTAATAAAAGTCACAAAACTACCACGCTAGAGATGGGACATTATTAAATGAAGCACTTATTAAGCACCTAATGGGTGCAAATCACTTCATTGTTTTGGACACAGAGAGGAATGACAGTCCCTGCTTTCAAGAAGCTAACACTTTAATGCTCCTGCCAGAGCATATGGAAGGTTTGGTGGCATGTCAAATGGAAAGGTTCTTCCGCCCTTAGGGTGCATCAACACAGCTGATGGTAATGCTTCCTTTTGAATGTCATTTCCGCTGATGAATTCATATAATTTCTGACGCTGAACCATCTGACAGTACCTAGGACTTTAGGGGGCAATAACTTTCTTTTCTCTGTCTTCAGCAGCTCTTCCTGCAGCCTAGCAGGACCAGTTGCCAGGCTGCAAGTTCACAGGGACTTGTTTCCCGGCATAATAGCTAAAAGCACTGGGTTGGAAGCATTGCTGATCTCAAGGATTTTAGGTTCTCCAACAGGATCTGAAGACAGATGGTGATCAAGATGGTGGTGATTGCAGTTTGACTTTTCTAGCACAAGCTGCCTCCTATGTCTCCCTCAGGGTGACTTGCTGCTTCAGCTAGGCTAGCTTGACCGCTGTGAAGGCTGAGCTGGAAGCAGTCTGTGGGTGAGTGGTGGTGGTTCCTGCGCCCTAGCCAGGTCTTCCTGGTTTTGAGTCCAGCTCTTTCAATCCAAAGCCTGGGCACAGCTGCCCCTCCACAGAGAACAAGGTGAAATTAAACAATGCAAACAGGTTGCTTGGTAACTTCTCAAAAGCATTTCCATCAGCATTATCTCACCAGAACTTCATAACCACCCCGGGAGGTCTGCGGATTATGCAAACCACCAGGGTGGAACTACGGGTGCGGCCTTGAGGTAACAACCTTCACCTAAGAATACCCGCTGACCTTTATACACCTAGTGGGAGGAAGGATCACAAACGACAGCCTAAGGGAATGGGGGAGGGATGATCTTAATTCTAGCATCTCAGTACCCCGTCAACCCCGGACAATACTTGTAGCCAGTAGAGAGAGATAAGGTATGCAAAGCATTTTGTAATCTATTCTGGAGCAACTTCTCAAAATCTTTTTCCAGAGCCAAAGGCAAAATCCTCTAGCAAAGAAAAGGAATTGGGTCTCCTTTCCCAGCTGCAAGAATGCAGTCACTGCAGCCACCTGATTCCTTCCCTAAACACAGCTAGGCTCCCCAAATCTCCCCACCAGGGAAGAGGACAACTTCCTCCCCAAGAATTGGGAATACATCAGGTGCAGTGCAACCACTAGAATTCCCAGCATGCCGCGCAAGAGCCCAACAGCGAGCCCTCGAGGCTGGACTGCTCTCCTCTTCACTGGGGGCGGCCCCCGCACTGCACGCCGGGATTTGTGGTCTCCCCAACTCTCCAGTGTAGCCATTGAGCGCACACTCCCGCGGCCTCGGTCTGCCCTTTGATTCTTCCGGTTCCAAACAGGGGTTCCACCGGCCGATTCACAGCCTTCCCTCTCCTCCCTCCCCCCCAACCTTACCCACCCGTCCCAACTCCACTCCGCTCCCGCCCCCGGGAGGGAACCTCCTCCGGTCACGTGGTGAGGCGAGGGGCCCCGCGATTGGCTGCCCGGGAGGCGGGGGCAGGGCACACGGCGCTGCGTGGTTCCCGTGGCCCCCCTCTCCGACCGCTTGTTTGGCTGCTACCGTCACCTCATGGCGACGCGAGTAGAAGGGGTAGCGCGGGGAAGAGGCGGCGGCGAAGAGGCTACAGAGCCGGGACGGGGCGGCCGGAGGCGCAGTCCGCGGCAGAAGGTGAGCCCCGAGGTAACCCTAGTCCCTGCCGTGCGGGAGGGCACTCGGCTGCCTTGCCCGGGCCTCCTCGTCTTTCCCGGTCCGCTCTAGCCTCGAGGACCTGCCAGTCCGGTTCCCTTTTTGGGGATGGGGGGGAGGGAGGGAAGAACAGGAGGACTGTGGTTGGGGGATTGCCGGGAAGGGGGGGGCTGGCCAGGAGGACGACGACGTCGACGACCCCGGGCGGTTGGTGTTTTCGGGGCGCGCGTCAGGGAGAGGCGAACGCGCAGAAAGGGGGCGCGCGCAGGAGGGGGACGAGAATGGGGTGCACGAGCCAGGCTGGGGGGGGGTCGGGAAGTCTCCGGCGCGGGCAGGTGGGACACGTGGTGCCGTCCGTCCCTCCCCCCGCCCCCCATCGGCTGCCTGCAGCGTCGGAGGACCGAGCCGGCTAACGGTCTCTCCGCTCCGCTCCGCCCCGTCCCCCTTCCCGGTTCGAAGTGCGCTTTTGCGGGGTGTTCTCCGCGCCGCGGCGCGCCGGAGGCTATTGCGCAGTAAGATTAGCGCGAGGGGAGTCGTCGGAGCTGCGCGTTCTCGCCCCTCTTTGGCCAGGGAGGCCGTGGCTGCGCGCGGGATGGGGGGGGTCGGGGAGGGGGGCGCTGCGTATGGGCCGGCCTCGGGAGGGTGCGGGGGTGCTGATGCGGTTGGCGCCGAGCGAGCTCTCCTCGCCGGTCCCCTCCACGTGCTGGGGCCGGCCCCGGCTGCTCCTTTCACTTCTCCCACTGGCTGTCGGGTTGCGGTTGGAGTTTAAAGTAAAGAAAAGAGTACTTGACATCATCTGGATTCTTTTTTCTCCCACACTTTCAAAAAGAAGATGCTCCCTTAGGAAACGTAAGTACCCACTGCCCTTGTGAAGAGGGGGACTGAATTCAGCTCCCCCCCCAGTAAAAAACCCACTAACTAACCAATCAACCTGTTTTACGATTTACTTGAAGGCAGTCTACAAGTTGCCCCAAATACCTTTTCATACTACGGAACTAAGGGCAGACCATCTTCATGCGGGCCACTAGTTTGTTGCGGAATTGTCTAAGAAATAGGTAACATATTCCTTTCAGAGGTGAGAGGAAGAAAGTCTAGAAATGCAGATACGGATTGTCTATATCTCTTTACTGAGTAAAATGTTTTCGGTTTAATTATTTCAAGACTGTATTGATTGGGGCGACATTGATTTTTTGGGGCTGTATGGTTTGTTTTAATTGTGCTTTTAAATAATGTTCATTAATCCTGTATAAAATTACTGTGGAACTTTTTTGTAAACCTCTGAAAATGATGTTTCCATCTACTAGGCAAAGTTTTAAGACAAATGAGATTTGGGAGTTTTCCTCTAAGTTCTGTGTTTCCCCTAATCTTATTTCTCAGATGCCTTTTTCTTTATCTTTCAAAAATGAACTGTAAAAAGAACTAAAACTCCTAAGGACTGCATGTACTCTGGTGATAGAACTGTGTCCTCACTTTCATGGACACATGGTGGGGGAGGAGCAGTTGAGAGGTTGGGGAAAGACGAAACTTGTAGCCAACTTGATTTTAAGGGAAGGAGGGAGGAGCAAACAGGACACCGGAACCAATTTTATTTTTTGTTCTTTTAATATGGACCCTCATTCACGTTTACATAATGAGCATTTGAGCTGTTATGAACGCAGTTGAAGGCTGCGTGATACGACCACCTGACTTCAAATCTCATGTCTAACATGGGCAAGTATTTAATCGATGATGGGGGAAGGGTCGGGAATTCTAAGTCTCTGGCAGGTGAGATCTGTGGTGCGGACCCCCACACACTCCCACTGCTTTCTCCAAGGGTTGTTGTGAAGATCAAGTGAGATGTGTATAAAGGCTTTGCAAAACTTAAGGCACTGTATAAATGTCAACTGTTATTAATAGGAACAATGGTTAAGCAACTGATTATTATCGCATTGGACAGTGAACTGGAAAAACAAGCCAGTTAACACTTTAGAACTTTGCCTTTCCATCTGCCTTTCTTTTGATTTCTGTGTTTGATTTTTCTCACTCCCCTTCTTTATTCCCTTCCTCACCATCCCCCTTATCATGATAATGAAATTATTTTTGTTTGTAAGCGCTTCACTCTTTTGTTATTCCTTTTGGGCAAAGTGCTCTTATTTATTTTTAGTTTTCAACATTAACTTTTATAAGATTTTGAGTTCTAAATTTTCTCCCCTAAGACGTCAATGCAATATGATATAGGCTATACATGTACAATCATATTGAACATATTTCTGCATTAATCATGTTGTGAAAGAAGAATCAGAACCAAAAGGAAACTTCTCATGATGAGAAAGAAAAAAAAAAGAGATGCTTTGGTCTGCATTCAGACTGGATGTGGATAGCATTTTCCATCAAGAGACTTTTGGAGAAGTCTTAGATCCTTGCATTGCTGAGAAAGTCTAAGTCTGTCAAAGTTGTTCATCTGCACAGTGTTGCTCTTACTTGTACAATGTTCTTCTGGTTCTGCTCACTTTACTCAGCCTCAGTTCATGTAAGTCCAGGTTTTTCTGAAATCTGCCTGCTCATCATTCCTTATGGAACAGTAGTATTCCATTACATTCATATACCACAACTTGTTCAGCCATTCCCCAATTGTTGGGCATCTCCTCAATTTCCAATTCTTGGCCACCACAAAAAGAGTTGCTATAAATATATTTGTATATGTGGGTCCTTTTCCCTTTTTTATGGTCTCTGTGGGATACAGACCTAGAAGTGGTATTGCTGGGTCAAAGGATATGCAGTTTTATAGTCCTTTGGGCATAGTAACGAAATTATTTTGAAGTAAGAGTAAATATGTGTTTTTAAAAAATTTATTCAGCGAAGTGGATAGAGCACCGGCCCTGGATTCAGGAGGACCTGAGTTCAAATCCAACCTCAGACACGTAACACTTACTAGCTGTATGACCCTGGGCAAGTCACTTAACCCCACTGCCTAGCCAAAAAAAAAATTTATTCAGGTGAATGTTTTTTGTTTTCTTATATAACTAAACTATTTCCTTGTGGACCTTTATTTTGTATATGTTCTTTTTATGTAGGTCTGTGCTCTCTAGAAAAGGAGGTGGAGGAGCAACTTGACAATCTTTGTACCGTAATTTTCTTCATGGGGAAATAAGGACACTGTTTAACTCTTGATGAATATGAAAAAAAAGAAAAGCTTGAGTATTTTAAAAAATGTTTAAAGAAATGTCCCTTTATGTACCTATTTGGAGAGATGGACACAGCCAGAACTTCTAGTTTTCACTATGTTTTAGTCCTGTGATTTCATTGGTGTAAAGGAACCTATGGTAAGGAACTTAATCTACAAGTATATATTCGGCACCTTTTCTGCAACTTGGTCTTAGTTGCACTGGAACACTGAGAGTTTGAGGTCTTCTTAACTTGTTTTGTTTTTTTGTTTTTTTTGTTTTTGGTTTTTTTTGGTAGGCAATGGGGTTAAGTGACTTGCCCAGGGTCATACAGCTAGTAAGTGTTACGTGTCTGAGGTTGGATTTGAACTCAGGTCCTCCTGAATCCAGGGCCGGTGCTCTATCCACTGCGCCACCTAGCTGCCCCACTTTCAGATTTCTTTGGTTGCTGTAGTATTCCATAAATAACATGCAAAACAACTATCTCAAAGATAAATGGCCATGTTATCTTTTAGAATGAAAAAAGCTGTTTGCTTTCAAGGGTCTTGTTTTTCAAGGAATTGGCCAGAAGGGGAGGATCTAGAGCTTTCCAGGATATCAAGTTCATTCTTAATTGTGAGTATTAGAATGCCTCTTGGTCCTTTGAATTGACCTGACTTTATGAAGCAGACTTTATTTTTATCATCTATTAATGGCACTTTAAAAGAAATTTAGTGGTTTAATAATTCATTGAATACACTTAGGAACACTTTGGAGGAGTTTTACTTTTTGGAATATGGACATGACTGTTAACTACAGTTTGAGAGGTTTAGCGTATACAATGTTAGGTTATTGGACAATTATTGGCAAAGATGTTAGGTTGTATGGTAGGTTTTCTTGGCTAGTAAGTTGTACTGTGAAGTTTAATTTTATTTTTGAAGACTTAATTTTTTAAAGGTTATATGCAGATAACTTTTTTTAAAAAAAGATCAGGAAGCTGGAGACAAAACTTAGGAGAGATACTACAGCTGTTTTAAGTGTTTGTATGAAGGTATTTTTTTATTTTAAATTAAATATGAAAAAAGGAATCAGACTCCCGTAGCCCCTGAGGGCAGAGTTAGGAGGAATGGGTAGAATAAGCAAGGAGATTAATTAGGAGGATTATGGAATAGTGCAGGTAAGGTGATGAAAGCCTGAAATAGGTTCATGGCAGTATTAGTGGACAAAAAGGGACAAATGTGAGAGAGATTGTGTAAGCAGAGGAAACTAATGGGAATGGGGGAAATTTGAGGAAGAAGGAAGGACTAAGGATGATAATTAATCAAAGAATGATGATAGTTTTAACATAGAAGGGAAATTTTCTAGGAAGGATAAATTTGTGAGGGAAGATAATTTTTTAAAGTATGCTGAATTTGAGATTCTACAGGACATCCAGATGATATCCAGCAAACAGTGATGTGGAATAGAGTTTAACAAGAGAGTCTAGGTGTCTAGGACAGAACCTTAAAGGATATGAATGGTTAATAGGGTTTACTGATAAACATCATTGGGTTGGGGGAGATGGTCAGGGTCAAGGTATAATAAAGGTCAAGAAAGGACTTAAGGACAGGAAAAAAAGGCTGTGGGACTTGGCAACTTAGAATTAGTTACTTTTCAGAAAGAAATTCATTCAAGTGGTGATGTGAGAAAAAATCAAAATGAAAGTAGTTGAGAAGTAAATGGGAAGTCTTGTTGAAAGTAGAGACCCAAGGCATTGATTTATTTAGGACTGTCATGTGAAGGGTGGAGAATAAAAGGACAGTAGCCTGAGGTCAAGTGCAAGTATTTTTAAGGATTAGGGAAATCTGGCCATATTTGTAT